TCTTCACATTGTTTGGTTTCTTCTTCAGTACACTTATCAGTTTCGCAGAGGCGTATGAACTGCCAGACCCAGTGTCCAACAGTGCATGGGTTTTAACATCGTCTATCTCAATAAGCACAATAGGATATATAATCCCCTGTTCACCTTCTTTACTCGCTGTCAGTCCTGCTTCAGGTTTTGGTGGGTCGTTGGGAACATCACAAATTGATGTGTGGTGTCGTCTTTTACAATTCTTGCAAGTGCTGGTACTTCTGCAATCTGATGCTCGATGAGATGGACCGGTACAATTGAAACAAAGCTTCTTTCTCGCCAGGATTTTTCTGCGTTCTCCAACAGTTGTGACCGATTTGCATTCCGACGACCGATGCTCTTCTTTGTCACAATACACACAAGCCTTTCGGGTTCCGGGTTGAGCACCACCTTTCTGCTGGGTGTGAAAACATCCTCGGGGCTGTTCTCGTTTCTTCTGCGTGTCATCATGCTTGGGGCTGTCAAGTGGATTCCTCCTGGTCCAGAATTGCAAAGCTTCAGTTAGTTGAACGTATGTCCAATCTTCCCATTTAGTATCGTTACGGGCAAGATCTCCCCTGATCGCAGGTAGCTTTTCCAAGGTCATGGAAACAGTGCCATTCACTGCGTCTAGCTTCTTCAATGTTTCGAGTGACTGCACACAATAAGCCAATTTATCATGAAACTCATGGATTTTCTTCACATTTGCAGTCGGTATATGGGGCAATTCCATAATTTCCTTGACAAAGCATTTGACTATTTCACATTCCTTCCCGAATCGGTCTTTCAATATAGCAGTAGCTCGGTTATAGCCCTCTGCGGTATGGGGCAAAGCTTCGATTGTCTTTCTTGCTTTCTCACACAATAATTCCTTTAAGTAAGAAAATTTACTCACAGCCGGTATACTTGATTTATGAATAGTTTCCGAGTACAAGTTCCAAAATCTTGGCCAATCTTTGTAACTTGCGTTGAATTCCGAAATTTGAAGCTTAGGCAATTTCGCTTGTAATTTGCTGACTTCGTCCTGTTCCTTCCCGGATGTTGGTTTAACAGACACTTCCGCTTCCGCGCTTGCATTTTAATTTTCGCCTCGTGTAATTTAAGCTCAAGTTCGATTCGTTTTTCTTGCTCTTGTTTTTCCCGTTCAGCTTTTTGCTCTTGTTGAATCTCTTCTAACCTTGATTCCTTTGTTTTAAGCCATTCTTGCAACTTTTCAATCGCTTCGTCACCGCTTTCCATTACGCTTTCGATTTCGCTATTCCATTCGTCAATTTCTTCGTCGTTTACACCCTCAGAGATTTTTGTCGCTTCGATTTCCCGTCTCAATTTATTTACTTCGGACAGAGTTTCTTTAATAGTATCCACATGTCTAACGATTGCTTGTTCTTTTCCATTGTTTACTATAGTTTCGGTCTTCCCAATCGCTCGTTTTAGTTGCGTTATCTTCGTCTCGAGTGCCGTAACTTCGAGTTTAGGCGGCATGTTGTTTACTCTAAACCTTCGCTTATATTATTCTAATTTAAAGGTTTTACTCACATATTCTGGGCTACAACTTCGCATCGGGTGTGCCAGGTGTTGGGAATTTTGCTTTAAGTATCACCAACAAATCACTAGTTGTATTTTTGATATATAATATCTCAAATCACTCTCGTATCACATTTTTTACAATGGTTTCGCAGTCAAAGTCTCACAACAACAAAAATTCCTGTTTTAAAGGAAAACTATATCTCACGCCATCGCGCGTGGAGTTCACGTGTTCTATTACTATTTTAACTATAGACTGAGGTAAAGTCTCCGACACTTCGTCGCTAAGAAACTTTATTTGCTGTTCGAGCCTAAGTTTTTTTTTATTTTTCTTCCTCAAGTTCTAAGTATTGTCTGTTGTTGATGCTGCGAACGAGGAAAGATATGAATAAGAAAGCCTCAGCAGTTATCGGGAATCGAGATTTCGAAAATTTAATAGTAAATATATAGAAAACATCAAAACTGCGCGCCCTATATCTCAGGTGCGCAGTACAAACTTTTCACACTGGTCGGGAAATCCTTTCTTTGAGGCCTCAATAAGCAAGTAAGTTTGCAAGTTTAAATTATTCACCCTCATTTGGTTTGTAAATAAGCCGAACATTTGCTAGTTTCCAGAAAATTCTCGATTCGTTTATTTATATAAAATTTGTGTGGTATATCTTGATGAACCATTGTCATTGAGAGTCAGTGAAGTTTTATTATGTTTGATGTCCCTATAATTCTGTAATTTGTCTATAACATGATAATTTATTAATATAATTTTGTCTTGTCGACTTTTACTTCAAGCTTTCGTGGTAATTTCTCACATTTAAAACGCTCTCGGCGTCAGCGGTCACCATATTTCATTGCGTAAAATACAAAGTGCGTCACGCGCATAGGTCACGCGTACCGAGAAAATTGATACTGCACGTGCGCACAGCTAAATGGCAAATGTCCATTCAAATAGACTCATGTTTTGGCATCGGAGTAGTGAGAGTGAATCAAGAAATCGCATTATAAATCAACAGAAATCCGTTTAGAAATTAACAGAAATCAGATTAGAAATCAAGAAATCAGGTTAGAAATCACGTGATTTCGAAATCTCGTACGCTTCATGTGGCCGTGTCGGACCCCTCGGTTAGGATAAACATTTTCACAGTAAGAATATTCTGACATTGCTTGGCTACTATTTTTCAATAATCAGTATAGCCCAAAATTGACCATGCATGCATTTAAAACAAATAGAATTTGAAAAAAACAACTATACAATTTGCTCGACAATTTGAAAACTTAAATATAAACAGTTTTTGTGTTAACGTACCAGCCGGCCTGCTCGGAATCCATTGAAAGTTCATTGTAAAGTGTTTTTTTTACTAATTGATTTGACTTCTATTATTGGTATAACTGCCGCCGACACTCCAAAAATATTCAGCGTGAATCTTTTTCGTGCGACTGCAGTCGTTGACATTACAGTCAATGACAGTGTTACGGAAAACTATAAAGGCTGCAAAATATCTCCATTTTATGAAAAAAGCACAAAAAAGCCCCGTTCAATTTTACGTGAGACATAGCCAAGTTAAATGTTTATAGCTTGGCGTGTTTAAATTTATCTCAACCTATCTCAACGAGGAGAAAACACTATTTTAAATACGTCCGCGCTTTGACAAAAAATTAAAAAATGTCGTCAAAATCGAGTTCAAAATGCATGTCTTTTCCTCAACAATCGCTTCGTTCATTTTGCATGTGAAATAGATAGTAATTTTAACTATATAAGCTGATACTAGATACTTCACTAAACTTTTATAGTATGTATTTGAGGCAGGAAGTGATTTCGTTCAAATGATAATTGAAAATTTGTGCTGTTTAAATATCGTATTATCTGCATAAGTAAGTGTAGTAGTCGCGAATCTATTGTTGTGCGGAGTATACGGAAAACTATATATAAAAGGCTGCAAGATATCTCCGTTTTATGAAAAAAGCACAAAAAAGCCCCGTTCAATTTTACTTGAGAGATAAAGCCAAGTTAAATGTCTATAGTTTGGTGTGTTCACATTTATCTCAACCTATCTCAACAAGGAGAAACCATTATTTTAATTAAATACGTCTGCGCTTTAAATTTTGCAAATATTTTCATCGCTCGAGTAAAATTTTTGCCCTGATATTTTCTTTCAACGAGTGTTCAGTAACAAACAACACAAGCTATTACATGTGATATAACTTATTAAATAATATTTCAAATTTTAATTAACGAAACATAATTACTTAGCATTTAAATCCTTTGTTTTCTCGTTTGCTCGTTTACATATATTTTTTTTGTTGCCATCTTGTACGCGATTTTCTGATTTTTTTAAAGAAAGCGCGCTCGCGCCAATCCTAATGTGCATCACACGTAGCACGGTAATTTATTAGCGCGTTGCACCGCCCGTGTTGTACAGCGCCCTGATTGGACCAATCAGTGTCCTCTATTAATGACAGTCCGCCATATTTTTGAGATCAGTGAGGATGACCACCCACCGAAACATCGTTGGTGAGCCACGCCCGCGATTATTGATGAACTTTAGACTTCGCTAATGCTTTCGTTTCCCCAGGTGTAAATAGCCGGGGGGAATTAGTACCCTCGAACGGCGCTTCGCGCCGTCCGCTCGGGGACTAGATTACAGATTTACCCCAATATTTATATTACCTATTTCTAACATAGGCCTATCAATCACTAGCATGCAGTTAATTGCATGGAATTCTACTGATTGTTTCTCATCACTCAACTGTCCACTGATACGTTACAGAAACACAGCCATTTCACGTTTCGATCACATATAGGCCAAATTGACTGTTTCACGAAAATTAAAAAGCATGTAGCCATGTTTTTAACTGCATGACATTGTGTAAATAACATTTTCTATCTTGAGTATTTCATACATTTGTTATGCCGTTGGCCTATATTAATTTACAGTTTCTGTGAATAATTTCACCAGAGTACTGAAAGCCTCTTTTAAAACCAACCTGGATATATCAAGTAAAATTGTTACATCCAAAGCGTGCATGCGCTTCTTCATCGATCACTCACTACTCGATCGTACTACAGGCCTTTACCACCTCAATATACAATGAGTAAAGAATATTTAATACATATTATAGTCGTTAGATAAAGCACTGAAATGCAGAGAAACCGAGTAGGAGAGAGAAACAAGTGTTTATGTAAAGTATGGTTCTTAGACGAAAATATACATCGCTTAACATCATATTTTACAAAATAAAAAATAATACGCAGTCCTATCACAGATTGCGTTCCATATAAGTGCAGGGCCCTTCACGCAATGATGCATTATATTGTTAGCTCTGCCGCCCACAGTCCTCCTGTGTAACTCTTGACTACGTAGAGTTGGAATTCCTGATTAGTCAAGAGCAGATTATATAAAAGGGGTTCTAAATATAAAGATGATATCCATACCGCCTTGGAGGCACAGGGTCGTGTGAAATCCATGTTATCTCTCTCTCTCTTTCTCTCTGGTGTGTATTGGTGAATAAAAGTAAAGGCAGGTTAGCATGCTTAAAGTTTCTGGTTTTTTGGTAACATTTATTTTTATAATAGTTCCTCACATAGGTTCTATGAATTTATCTTAGCTTTTACATATTTTTCATGTTCCAACACATGCGTGGATGTGGGATATAAATCTCCTAACATCACCGACGCGTGGCTTTAGTGTAGATTTACCAAATAGCTAGTGTTTTAAAACATCCTCGAGTAGGCCTACTTTTTAACGTTTAAACACTGTCAAACAATGCATAATATTTATATGGATTAATATGATGTTTAATTAAAAGCTTTGGAATTTTCAGACTTTTACAGACTTTTCATCGAAGTGCACGACTCTTCAGAAGTGATTTGCTTATGACAGTATGCCTTTTAAAATTTAAAATTTTAAATATTCCCAATATCTTAATGCAAATACTCATTACTCAGTTAATTTCTATTCAGATACATTGTTACAGTACCAGAAAAATGCCGAAAAGTGCAAATGTATCAATCACATTGCTAGTTTTCTTGTGTGCAATACACCAAAGTTTCCAATGCAGACCTCCACCGGATTGGAACCCTCCTACAATTGCCGAATTAACTGAGAAAGCTCCGATCGTTGTCCGAGGTTTCGTGGTTAAAAAAGTGGGTAATATCAACCTATACACAGCGTGCCTGCGTATTTCTCATGTCTATAAAGGTTCAGGTGTAAAGAGCTACATTTGCGTGTCAAGGTTTGGCTCAACATCCGTGTGTCTTTCTGATCCTGCTTATGGAGTGGAGTACTTGTTCTTCTTGAACAAAAAAATAAATGAGAAGTTAAGAACCGAGTATGAAGCTCGTTATGATACTATACACTCCGCAACACGATTGTTCAAGAAAAACTCGGACGACGAAGTTAGGGATGGAAAATGCTGCCCTGGAACATCGGAGAGTACGTATCTATAATACCCCCTAGTATTGCTAATTCGCTCGAATAAGATAAAGTTAAATTAATTGGCATTTCATTAATTAGCTAAGATTGATGATCTAACGACACTTAACAATTTCACCATAGCAGCGAGTTCTTAGCCAGAAAAATTTCTTTCTTCCGAGTATATGAAAGACAGATATTTGACTTCATGTAATATGCAAATTGATGCTGTTATACTGTTGAAAAAACACCAAATAATATTAGCAACCTTAGTTTCTACTATGTGTTAATACATGTGCTGAAAGGTCCCGTTTATTTTTTGGTTTTTGTGTGTTTTTCTCTCATTTAAGATGGCACGTTGCCGATGACGATATAGTAATGATTTGCAAATGACACTTAGCCGCAGTTATATATGCATGGAAAGAAGAAGCAAATAATAAAATAATTTTAGAAAACATGTTAATTGGATGGTTATTGCATGGTTAGGAAACAATAAAATTGGAGTAAAATTGTCGTTTAGGCACATGCATTAATTAATTTGAACAAAGTTATACGCATACACATGATGTATCAAAAAAAGTAATCCATATTTGACATGTTATCACGCGTTGATTCATATGTCAATGGGTCATTCCAGAAAAGATCCATACCCCCCCTACGGAGGAAATCGAAAATAACCCCCTCCCCCCCTTCGGACATCCTTGAATGGTTCATCCTCCCCCCCCTCTCCGGACATCCAAGCCCAAAATTACCCCCCTCCCCTTCGGACATCCACTATTTCTAAATTTTTCTAAAGGCTACCTCGCCGTTTGAAAACGTCACCGAAAATTAGACTACGTTCACACTACGCGCGAGCGAACTAATGCGGGCAGAATTTACGTGTGTTCATACTACCGCCATTACAGTTTGTTTACAAATTGAATTAGCACTCGTGTAAACCCAAAATATTTCAAATAGACCCAAGAAATTTAACTGAAAAGCATTCGTGTTTATACGTTTGTGCATGCATGTTCACACGAAGCTATCAAGCGCTCCGCCGTTTTCACCTCGCTCAGTTTAGAAACCGTGCTCAAATTGTTACGGCAAAAGTGACGTGAAAGTTTTCAAACGATTTCGCTCCAGCGTAGAGTGAATTAGCGATGGCTTATTGTGACTTTTCTACGCTGTTCTCAAATAGCTCCGGCGTGGCGGAACACTTGGCGGCTTCTTGTGACTTGCGAACACAAACACGTGGCAGGTTTTGTCGGATAATTTGCAGAAATTCACTTCGAAATTCGTTCAAGTAAAATTCGGACTGAAATTCGATGTAACTTGCGACTGTTGACAAGCGTTGCTGTGTTTACTTACATGTTAATACATTTTTTAGTATTACTGCATTCCTTAACCTCGCCCTTAATATGAAAGCCATTTCTATTTTCTAGACACGCACCTCGCAAGGAAGCTTTATTGACTATATACTAAAACAAATTGTTTTGAGTTCAGTTCACATAGCAGTCTCTTAATTCGAGCAACAGTTTAATAACTATTATTTTTAACACTTGAATAATTCAAACTTATATATGGCGAACGAAAACTGCAAACTATATAAATAAAGCGTGTCAATTTTCGACTCATTCTCAACATGCAGGATACGCTGTTACAGCGAGTTAGTCATAGGCGTACCGGGCGGGGGGGTGGGCGGGTGGGCGGTAGCCCCCCCCCAGTTTTTTGGGCAGTCGGGCAATATTCGATTAACAGTCGGGCAATTTTGGGTTGTTATAAAAAAAAATCGGACAAATTCTGTCAATTTTTTCTAAAATTAAAATTTTGTGGCAAATGTAGAAAATTTAGTAAATTTCTGAGATGCTCCGAAAAATTTTGGTATGTCCGGAAAATTTTTTTGACCCCTTAAATGGTACACTGACCGAAATTTTTTTGGCGACGGGGGGGGGGTCGCCAAAATAAATTTTCCGGAAAAAAATTTTTGGTACTAGTCGGGCACAATCACGAAAAGTCGGGCAATTTTACGAAAAGTCGGGCAATTTTCTTTCCGCCCCCCTAATTTTTTCCTTCCGGTACGCCCATGGAGTTAGTTTTTGGTGGCCATGCATGCAAAAGTGGGCCGCTTATTTTGCTTACAAGTTACGTGGACGTATAATTATTGCTGTTACATAAACGTTCCGGTGTTCAAGAGCTGCATATATATAGCCGATAAAAATTGCGTGCTCATTATAATCGCCGATCACATGGCTTTATCACAGTCTCAAACCTTCAGACAAACATATCCACATTCCTCTCCCCCCCTTCGGACATCCTAAGACATTTTTCCTCTCCCCCCCTTCGGACATCCTAAGACATTTTTCCTCCCTCCCCCTTCGGACAGCAAAAATTTCCTCCGTGGGGGGGGGGTATGGATCTTTTCTGGAACGACCCAATATTACACCTTTATGGAATAATTGCGATAAAAATGACCAAACGCGATCAGCTGATTTAAAGTGATTAGTTAATTCATAGTTAATAGAGGAGATGGTTTGGAAAATCATTAGCATTACAATAAACCTCACTATCTATGTTTTTGTTCAGGTTTATGCAAAAATGTGGTCTTTCATCGTCACGTGCGTATTGTATTTTTGCTCAACCAGCCAATAGCAACGGTTTTGTCCAATTGCCCATCCATGACTTTAACAATAGGACATTTTGAACATTCCTATTGGTTGACTTGAGTACGGTGGCCCGTACGGGCCAACCCTTCTCCGTAGAAACTTGCACCTTCTCCGTACAAATGTGTTGTTATTCCATGGAAATCCAACTTCTCCGTGGAATATTGCAGTTGTTCTGTCACGAAAAGCCTTTTCTCCGTACAAATATGCAGTTTCTCCGTGGAAACACGCATCTTCTCCGTGGAAACACGCAGCTTTTCTGTGGAAACACTGCAGCTTCTCCGCGGAAACCAGTGGCGGAAACGCGTAGCATTTCTGTGAAACACGATGCGGTGGCCCGAACGGGGCACCTCTTCTCCGCAGAAACATGCAGCTTCTCCGTAGAAACACGTGCCTTCTCCGTGGATGAGCACTTTCCTTGTGAATTAAAAAAGGCACGCCCCCTGAATATTTATTGGTTTTATACGACGGGGGGAGGAAGAGAAAATAAAGTCACAAGTCAACATCGTGGTCAAAACATTACAAGCCAATTTTATAAATATGAGTGCTTTAATATGGGCACAGATATCCAGCATATAAATTGTGAGAATTGCCAGGTGGAGATTTTGATCGTTTATAGCTTTTGTACAATTGTGGAAATAGATACATACTATAAAGTTTTACTTTTTTATATTTATGTTATCATTTTTATTTGTGGATTTATATTTTTATAAATTGAATATTTAAATATACACCGTATTAATCTGTCAGTCAGTCTCGTATGCGGATCTGCTAGTGTAGGTATGGATATACAAATACCTACACTAGCAGATCCGCATACGAGACTGACTGACAGATTATTAAATACGGTGTATATTTAAATATACAATTTATAAAAATATAAATCCACAAATAAAAATGATAACATAAATATAACTTTTTTATATTTATGTTATCATTTTTATTTGTGGATTTATATTTTTATAAATTGAATATTTAAATATACACCGTATTTAATATGCGGATCTGCTAGTGTAGATATTTGTATATCCATACCTACACTAGCAGATCCGCATACGAGACTGACTGACAGATTAATACGTTGTATATTTAAATATTCAATTTATAAAAAATATAAATCCACAAATAAAAATAATAACATAAATATAAAAAAGTAAAACTTTATAGTATGTATCTATTTCCACAATTGTTACAAAAGCTATAAACGATCAAAATCTCTGCCTGGCAATTCTCACAATTTATATGCTGGATATCTGTGCCCATATTAAAGTATTCATATTTATAAAATTGGCTTGTAATGTTTTGACCACGATGTTGACTTGTGACTTTATTTTCTCTTCCTCCCCCCGTCGTATAAAACAATTAATATTCAGGGGGGCGTGCCTTTTTTAATTCACAAGGAAAGTGCTCATCCACGGAGAAGGCACGTGTTTCTACGGAGAAGCTGCATGTTTCTACGGAGAAGCTGCATGTTTCTGCGGAGAAGAGGTGCCCCGTTCGGGCCACCGCATCGTGTTTCACAGAAATGCTACGCGTTTCCGCGGAGAAGCTGCGGTGTTTCCACAGAAAAGCTGCGTGTTTCCACGGAGAAGATGCGTGTTTCCACGGAGAAACGGCATATTTCTACGGAGAAAAGGCTTTCCGTGACAGAACAACGGCAATATTCCACGGAGAAGTTTGATTTCCATGGAATAACAACACATTTGTACGGAGAAGGTGCAAGTTTCTACGGAGAAGGGTTGGCCCGTATGGGCCACCGTATATATACCTCAAACTACTTGCTAAATTGGTTTCTGTTTGCTTTTAAATTATACAAACATGTTAAAATGCAGATTCTTATAGCAACAGAAAATTCAGGAAATCAAGCAACGAGAACGTATGACTGTACGCTTTGAAATATTTTTATTTTCTGGGGGTTCGCCGGTTCGGGCGTAGTTTCATTTCACGCGTGCGTTTCTGTTCGGGCTCTGATTTTTATAATATATGCTTATAATATGCCAATGAATTGTTCTAACATGGACACGGTATAAATTTTGTTAAACAGATGTCTCAAAAGCGACTGTTTATAGGTCGTAGGATTAGCGGCTTGCCGGCCTTAAACGTGACACATTTGGACACAAGCCAAATACACATTGAATGTCCATTCTGGTGATTCTAAAACTGTTTATAGTCATATTGCTCTAGATTTTTTTAAAAGGTTATCATCGTTTATATTAAACACCAGGAAGACAAAATATAACGTACAAAATTGTTTGAAATGGACAGTGCACAGCTGACATACGACAATTCACAACTGCATGAATTTTCTTTTTTGTCTGCACGAGTACCTGTTTGTTGAAGCCAAAATATTGCACAGCATCTCCTATAAATTCTATCGCCATTTACCCTCTCCCCTTAAATGCAAAGGAATGACAGCAGAAAAGGTTTAGCAATGTATTTTTTATTACATCTGGTATAAACTATAAAGTGTCGTACGTTTTATCAGGATATACATAATTCATAAACTGTATATGCACACGAAGTCTCGCTTATATTAATGAGTTTTACTGTAACAAACCTTTTAACGTTTCCATTGATAGATAGGTTGTTTGCCTCCGGAATTGTTTGGTAAAACAGACTAAACTTCTAAAATGTCGGTTACGGAATACGATAAAGATTAAAGTTGATTTAAATATTGATAACTCACAGCGGCATTAATCCATTATACAAGTCTAAAGACGCTGGATTATTCTTCAATAAAGCCCTCAATGGACAATGCTAATGTCAATGAAAGGTCTAATATTATACACGTTGCCGATTACTGTATACACAAAATATGAAATAATTTATATAAAGTACAATACCAGTGTCTGGTGCATATATCGTCCTAGATATTCAAGTTGTACCGCACGCACGGAAACGCACGGATGAGTCTTGGCGTTTGTGTGATAACAGATAGCTAGCTACACTTCGACATTATCTTTCTTGATTGTTGAGTTTCAGCAATGTAAATGAAATGAATTTTATGGCCAGTCCATAACGGGTTTTAATCCTGTGCTTTTACAGTCAAAATAGCACTATTGTTTACACATGTTGGCGATGTTTGGGAAATCAAAGGATCCCGTTATAAAATAAATCTTTTGTTTTGAATATCGGACAGGATACCACTTCAACCATAAAGAACCATATCGTTCGTTTAATACCGTTTGATCGATCATTCTGTGTAGAAGATATGTATGTTTCTACGGCGATACGTGCTAAACTTCGCAAGCCAGGTGCGTGTGGAGTGCTTTCCTTGCAAGTGAAATATGATCCAGCTTCTCGCTTGAAATGTACCGCAACACTTATTATTGATGAATTCAGTACAGCAGGAAGTCTTGTCATGATCGGTACAATTTAAAACAGTTCCTTTCACAATCTCTTGTTGCAAATTACATTTTTATCACCCGAAATTATAACACATAAAGTTGCAATTTTCCAAACGCAACAAACAAACTCCTCTACTACCCCTCCCTGAGGTCAAATTCAATTTACCCCCAAAATCTGGGGGTTCACGTGACCAGCTCCGACCAGGGTCTTTGCTTCCCAAGAGCAAAGAGCCTGGGAACGAGGTTGAAATTTTGCCCGCTTTGATTAACAAGTAATCGCCAGTTCCTCGTAAACTTCAAGTTTAATTTCACTTGAGTTGTGTCTTCAAAGTTTCACAAATTTGTGAAACTTTGAAATCACGCGTGAAATTACTAAACCTTAATTTTACTCTGCCCCATGCGATTACCTATACAAATTTCCTTCCCAAATCTTCGTAGTTCTATCTGGAGTTAGATACCCAAAATCCTGATCAAATAATCAACTTCTCCAAATATACGATTACTGGTAAAATAATCGGGAATATTTTATGAAATTAAAGAATTCAAATTAATAATTTTCTGCCATGTTGAATCATTTGAAAGTTGAATCTTTAAAACTCAATACTGTACATGTGCCTCCTATATTATCCAACTTTTCTTCCACAAACTAGCAGTTTAAGGACATTTTTATTTTTCTGCCTTATCCTCAGTCTCATTTTACTAATTTTTATACCAAACGAAATCTTTAATGTTAGGGACCACAACCACTTGAAAAGTAGATAGGAATTATCTTTAAACATCTCATTTATACTATAATAAATACCAATAAATACTTTTGGCCTAACTTCTGTAATTGGAAGGTAAGCGGACAAGCGGTTGGTTATTTTGGTAAGTCAAATATCAATGTGTTAAAACGATGGGATAATTCTTTTATCTAGTAGTAAAAATCTGAAACTTTTATGAAAGCTCATGTTATACAATACCACAAAATATGGTGGGGGCAATTTTTGGGATGTTTCCCACAAAAATCCTATTGTGTACATATTCAACCTGTAAACCAATTTCTTTGTGAAAAAAGAATTATTTCATTCTCATTTTAGGGAAAAATGAATTACTGTCTTCGACATCAGTGCAATAACGGTTACGCAGTGTTAGATGTAATTAAATTTCGATACGATAACTTTGGATCATACAGGTAATGAACCATGGAGTTTTAATTGTCATAAATGTGAATCATGATTCGATTTAAATATTACACATACATGATCAGAATAACATTTATTTCCCATGCATGTGTATGTACAATAATAAGTAACAAAACTATGTGTAGTTTGAAGGTGTTGGGCTAGAGACCTACTGGAAACCTTTTCAGGCTTTTTAATGAATTATACATTATAACATTATAACTGTTTAGACGTTAGATAATTGTTATTGGCTAAAGTTGTAATTTTCTTCAGCTATAGCGCTGTTTCTTCATTCTCTGGAATGAATCATAATTCCACAGCTTTTGTTGGGTGTGATCATGGCAAGGTAGTTATCTGCTATATGACATATTGAAGATATTTTTTTAATGTTCTATATCAATGTTCAAAGAACGTTCACATTCATTCGATCATGATCAATGTATAGTGTTAAATTAATAAATCCGTTTGCAATATATCCACCTATATTGAATTTCTCCACATTTTGTAGTGTTGTGCATGTTTTGGACCTAAAGGTGGAAGGCAAAACTACTGTGGTCCTAAATGTACTGCAATTAACGGTGGAACTGTAATGAAAAGCGCTTTCGTTTGGTTTTGGGTGCGGACCAGAACGCCTAAACGTCTGTGGAAAAGATGTATGGAGTTTGTGATGAAAAACTCCGCAGGCAAACTTGAAAAACATTTCATTGATCCACAAATAGGCACTGCACAAAAGGTGAGGATATTATGGAAAGTTAAGATGACACTATTGGGTTAATGGCGACATACACAGTACCACCACTCACCAGAAGCAACAACAATAACGAAAACGACAACTACAATGACGTACAACAACAACAACAACAACAACAACAACAACAACAACAACAACCAACAACAACAACAACAACAACAACAACAACAACAACACCAACAACACCAACAACACCAACAACGCCAACAACGCCAACAACGCCAACAACACCAACAACACCAACAACACCAACAACACCAACAACAACAACAACAACAATAACAACAATAACAACACCAACAACACCAATAACAACACCAACAACAACAATAACAACACCAACAACAACACCAACAACACCAACAACACCAACAAACACCAACAAACACCAACAAACACCAACAAACACCAACAAACACCAACAACAACAACAACAACAACAACAACAACAACAACAACAACAACAACAACAACACCAACAACACCAACAACAACAACAACAACAACAACAACAACAACAACAACAACAACAACAACAACAACACCAACAACACCAACAACAACAACAACAACAACAACAACAATAACAACAATAACAACACCAACAACACCAATAACAACACCAATAACAACACCAACAACAACAATAACAACACCAACAACAACAACAACACCAACACCAACAACACCAACAACACCAACAAACAACAACAACAACAACAACAAACAACAACAACAACACCAACACCAACAACACCAACAACAACACCAACAAACAACAACACCAACAAACAACAACACCAACAACAACACCAACAACACCACCAACAACACCAACAACAACAAACAACAACAAACAACAACAAACAACAACAAACAACAACAAACAACAAACAACAAACAACAAACAACAAACAACAACAAACAACAAACAACCAACCAACAACAACAACAACAACAACAACAACAACAACAACAACAACAACAACAAACAACAACAACAACAACAACAATAACAACACCAACAACACCAACAACAACACCAACAACAACAACAACAACAATTTAACCAGCAGTTTGGTTTGTTTTCAGGGTTCCTGCTCAGGAAAACTTAGATCATTTTTAAACGAAGGTGTAAGTAGAATATTTCAAGAAAAGATTTGTATTACCGGCAGCAGTTATTCTGAACTTCTAATCCTTTTTCTCTGACAATACGTCCAACCCCTGCTCAAGCATCGGATATTTCTTAATTCATCTGATCTTATAGAGGACTTAATTCTAGACAATGACAGTATCTCATCGGATATTTCTTTATTGTAGACATTGACAGTATCAGACAAGGAAAGTTTTGACAAGATTCCAGATGTTCCAGGTCTTCTCTCATATCGTAAAGACGATAAACAACTTTATGTCAATCAAGGATCAAAGTGGCAAGCATTAAGTACTGAACAAGAGGTTAGTTTAAATATGAGGAAATAGCACGTCGCACTGGTTGAACTACATCATTATAACTGAAATTAATGAGTAACTTTAGGATATACCATTAAGACATCAACACAATTACTCCTACTCGAATTCAATATGGCGGATTTACTGGCGAATGAATGAAAACGTCATGATTCGTAATTGAGTAGGCATTCGATATTTAGTATAGAGAATATAAGCACGTAGTCAAAATTACATCTTATTTAAGCTTCAGCAATTAAAGAAACAAATTCAAAGTCAAGAAACCAAAATTCAAAATCAAGAAAAAAAAATTCAAGCTCAAGAAAAGAAAATTCAAGCTCAAGAAAACAAAGCCATCATTCAAGAAAAGAAAATTCAAAATCAAGTAAACAAAACCAACATTCAAGAAAAGAAAACTCAAAGCCAAGAAACCAAAATTCAAAATCAAGAAAAGAAAATTCAGAGTCAAGAAATGAAAATTCAAGCTCAAGAAAACAAAGCCATCATTCAAGAAAAGAAAATTCAAAATCAAGAAAATATGACTCAAAAGCTGGAAAAAGGTAACAAAATAAAAATGATTAAGGTTATAGCAAATCCTTTTACTTACCGAAAACTATTAATTACATTTTCGGTAAGTTAAAAATGAATCTCTAGTATGCAACAACAAGTTTTAAAATAATTAAAATTAAATGAGTTACTAATGGTAACGTTTTTCAAATTTTATAATCAGAGGGTAGAAAGTTCGTTATTAATGACAGCTGAAGGACAGTTTATTAAGTCAAAGTGATTTAATTAAAGTATCAAATTTAGCTTCATCGCCTACTTTGTGTGCCAACACGCATATGATACAGTTAAACCAGAAAACACTATCTGAAGTTGATAGTTATATTTACTTCTGTGTTTTGCTTAGACAAGCTGATAAAGATCTGGAAAAGTTCAGTAGACTCTCGCCAAACCCAACATCCAAATTCCTAGCTAGTAGATGAGTAATGATAAGCAATTGATAAATGCGAGAATTAAACGGTGTTATTAGAGGGTCTAGCTAGATGGCTGAAAATCAGTAAACGGTAAAAAAATTCGTATTTTAACGGGAAAAATTTTGGTATTTTCACGGTAAACAGTATTTTTTTCCTCACGCTTCAGGGTAAAATTTTTAGTGTTTTCACGACTCACTTGCGTTTTTGCTTGTATAAATATCAGGATGTATAAAATCATATATCAGCGCGCTATTATACGTGAATCACTCGGCGTATGAACAATTGGTTTTCATATTCGGAAAGATCAGGCTTTTAGCTATTGAATGACATGCTTTTCATACCAAGTGGAGAAAAAATAAGCATGTACTAGGTCGATCAAAAATGTTAGTCAAAATCGCATATTTACGAACGTGTCGTAGCTTAGCTAAGATTTATTCCTACTTAATAATAATTATGAATATGTGCGTCGTTTATTTAAGTGAAATTCATCAAAGTACCATTAAAGAGGGTTCATTTTCAATGGTTTTACACCCAACTCTCAACGGTGAAAATATGCGATTCTGACTAACTTTTTTTATCGGATTCGTATTTGCTCATTTTTTATCCATTTGGCATGAAGAAGATATCATTCAATAGCTAAAAGCATGATCTTTCCAAATGTGAAAAAATCTCGTTCATACGCGTGGTAATTCAGATACAATAGCGCGCTGAAGTTCGATTACGTTTTTTTTTATACATTTTATAGTAAATTAACTCCACAAAGACAATCCCCGAATTTTCTGGCTGGCAATGAAAACTACATGCTTGTTCACAATGGATAACATTGCCCGCCTCGATTTGAAGCTATTGTTTCGTGCGTACTCCGGCAAATTCGGGAAGTGTCAATGGACAACTTGCATGTTGGACTAAATTTTAATCTAAGCAAAGAGAAGGGAATCAAACACAACAGTTAAAAAGAACTTATTAAAATCAGTAAAATTGCAAAATTTGGTTGCAAAATGTTGTAAAATACAGAAAATATAGGCTTGCGAAGTTTGCATATTTTCAGTATATTTGTATTACGTGCGGAAATTGTTACCATTTTCAGCTCAAAAATGGTAACAATTTCCGCACGTAATACAAATACACTCAAAATATGCAAAAATTAGTGTAACATGCAAGTTGTCTATTGATATCCACATCTACCCTTATGTACCCTGAATAGTATTAAGCAGGCACGGATTTTCGGGGGGGGCTCCCCAGAAATTTGTTGTACTTCCAGAGGCATCTGGCAACGCCCAAAAAAGTTTTTGCATCCGCGCAAATTATATTATTACCATCCTTTTACTTAAAACGAATTGTAAAAATATACACCTGTAACTAGGGATCCAAGGATAGTTCAAATTTTGAAGATATAGCTTAGAAACTGCTGGAATGGGAATTGAAGACGAAATAAAATGACAACCTTTGCCCGAATACCAAACACTCTTGTCTATAAATAGGAAATTGCTCAAAGTTGCTAAGTTTGTTTACATGTCAATTTTTATCGGGCAAAACATAAAAATATCGTTCAAAATTTTGTCCGTAAACAAATATGTCTGAGTTCGTAAAACCTGATAAAACATAACTAAAAACAAAAGATAATTATCATATGCACAATACTTCATAACACTTTTATGTACGATTTAATAAACGAGCAGGAGTGTTTTATTAGATCTAATAAAACACGACCTGCGAGTTTATTTAACGGCTTCCTACTAGCTTCAAACACGACTACAAATTCAATAGATATACTGCTTTATTAGTATTCTTTATATAAAGAATATTAATGAGGACACGACTACAATAGATAATTATTAATGAGTGTTTGAAGTCGTATTCAACTACAATCTACTTTCAAAAAACTATTTTGACTGCAGACCATTCAGATATAAAATAGCTTATAGCGATGCCCATAGTAGTGTGATTTTGGGGTATAAAATTATAGTTTTGATTATAGTGCATGTTTATTGTGTATTACTGGACATATTTTCAACTTTAAAAAGTACTATTCATCCGTTGTGCACTATATAGTCTGTTGGATTTGGACTATTTGAAACTCATTGGACTTCATGGGTTCATGTTAGCACTGTTGGGCGTAGTTTTTAAGATGTTTTGCAACATTTTTTGTAAATAATGCAAGCCACAAAAATGACAAAATAATACACTCTATGGATTAAATTTAAACAGTAGATCCACAGTAGTAACAATTTTGATTTGATATTTTCATATTTGATATTTTGAATATTCTTACTACTAAATTAGTGAAATTACTAATATTATGATCTCGGATCGATGCAGGCCTAGAAAAGACAAGTTTTGTTGAACATTTCCCTTGGCCTTTCAAGGCGTTGCCACCAGGCCTAGACAAAAGCAAGCAGCAGCACTCCCCAGATATTTATCTACCCCCCCGAACGAAAATATGAAAATCCGTCTCTGGTACAAGGCGTGTGCACGTGTCGCGACTTATTTTTGAGTTTAACAGCTTTTGAAACAAACGAAAAATTATTATGTTTTACAGATATTGTGAAACTTATTATTGACTGGATAAATCCGCCAACGTCTTGTTCAGCTTTGTTAATAAAACATCCTTCAACACGCAGTGGAATGTATTACATTAATCCCCAAGGACTCATTTCATCGTCAATGGTTCACGTATACTGTGATATGACGTCAAAGAATGGTGTTGGTGTAACGGTGATTGGACATGACAGTGGATCAAGAACACTTGTGAATGGATCTGATGGTGCAGGTTCTTACAAACGAAAAGTTAACTATGACATTTCGATGGAACGGATCGTTGTCATTGTGAAGCAGTCCAAGAATTGTGAGCAGTTCATAAAATATGAATGTTATGATAGCGCATTTAGGTTCGGTTCTGTAGGTGCATATCAAAGCTGGTGGGTATCACGCCAAGGTTCACAGATGAAGTACTGGGGCGGAGCGGCAGTCAACAGTGGAAACTGTGCATGTGGAATGACCAACAGCTGTGCAGGTGGAGGAAAATGTAATTGTGACAAGAATGACCTGAGATGGCGTGAAGACAGTGGATATCTGACTGACAAGAACACACTGCCTGTTACTGAGCTGAGATTTGGAGATACTGGTGACCCTAGTAGGAAAGAGGAAGGATACCACACACTGGGAAAATTGCAATGTTGGGGTTAGGATAGAAGAGCGGGTTTTGAAGGATAATATATAAACTGAAACGTTATTACTTAGCAACACATACGATAAGTAATTTAAAATACTCATTAATATAAATTCATAAACCTTGTGGCAAATCATGTCAGTCATAATATGTCACGTGGAGTGACTTTATATCTGATAAAACACATGTGGCATTGTTTTATAGTTAGTGTCAAAGTTAAATTTTTCTGCTTGCCGATTGGTCAAAACCGTGTCACGTGCCGGTCCACAAAACGTCATGTTCGGCAACCGGTCCGCAATCAAACATTTATTGACCGGTCAATAATAAAATGGGTGCAATACGCATGTGTGTCAACCATGAAGTTCCAAAGTTCATTTTTTTAAACTTTTTACTAAACATTTACGGCGTTCCATTTATCCAGTTTTGGTTTCAAATTAAGTTCACTCAATAACCGGTGAATTATTCATACTTTGACACTTATATACTATATAACAAAACACTTATTTACTGAGACCTCGGGAAAGCAGTGTGTTTTGTGGCCCCTCGACCGCCGTTGTTGCCTTCGGCTTCGCCTCGGGCAACAACGGCGGTCTCGCTTCCACAAAACACACTGTTTCCCTCGGTCTCAGTAAATAAGTGATAATTATAATATTGTGTTCATCCTAATTAGCATGATTATATAGCATGATTATATAATTGTTCATCCTAATTAGTATTCTTTTGTAGTCGTATTTTAAGCTATTCAAAACACTCGTTGTCGTGTTTTACCAGATATAAAACGCTCGGCTACGCCTAGCGTTTTATATCTGATAGAACACTCCTACTCGTGTTTTAAATAGTTACTTAAAATACTCATTAATAATTCATAAACCTCATGTCAGCCATAATATGTCACGTGGAGTGACTTTATATCTGATAAAGCATGAGGCATTATATAATTGTTCATCCTCATTAGTATGATTATATAATGGTTCATCCTAATTAGTATTCTTTTGTAGTCGTATTTTAAGCTATTCAAAACTCTCTCATTTTAAGCTATTCAAAACTCGTGTTTTAAATAGTACATATATAACTAATTACACAAATTAAGGTAGCCCCTGGTTATTTATCCACCTAGCATGGTCTGGTTAAATTAAGTAGGAAATCCTGGTCTAATTAACCAGATTATAGTAAGATAAAGTTAAAATAATCAGAAAATTTCACCAGGAATATTAAATTAACCCAAATAGAGTTATTTCTAGGTTAACTAGTGTCTTTAGATTGTATCTTTATAGTAGAAAACCTTGTCTTGATCAACCATTTCACTGTAGAAGACATGATGTCATTGAGTCATTCCAGAAAACATCTATACCTCCCCAGAGGAAATTCGAAGTTACAGTAAACATCCAACCCCCTTTGATTGGATGTTATAATACACTTACTATTATCATCTCGAAATTTCCTCCATGGGAGGAGTGTGGATCTTTTCTGGAACAACCCATTAGATGAAGTCTCCCACCTTATTCGATGCTATAAAGAAACACTCTTCTTTTTATCAATTTCTGTCAATTCTGTCCAATTTCTAGATCTGTGTCTTTGTCCTGACAGGTAGGATTTTTTCATTACGTATAAAGTATACAACTCTTGTTTGTGTTTTCGACGAATTCTCAAACAAAGACAGTTGAGTTTACTTGAAAACTGTCTAATTTCACGATTTGTGTCTTCGCGTAGGTTTTTCATTGCCTGACATGTGTGCGATTCCACTATTTCAAAAAATAAAGAGAATCAAAATAAGAAAATGGAAAACAAGGAAGGTGTTGGCAGTACAGTAGTTAGAGCATGTGACTTCCATCTCCATTTAACCCAAGAAGTAGCAAGCCGATTCGATTTAGAACAATATTGTTCTACAGGTGTATGTATCACAGAATACGTCCACGGTACCACAGAATACCAGCCTTATTTATTTCTTATATAAAATTTGAAGGAAATATGCTATAAACTTTACTTTTGTGATTAAATATTAGTTATTGTCTTAATTGACATATAAAAACAAAAAATGTATATTTTCTTAAAAATTCTTGAAAATAATCAGGATTAACAAGAAGTAACATTCTATATTTTTGGTACTTTTTTTCGTATAATGCCTGTAAAATCCGAAAGTTTAAAAATAAGTTCGCAAACCAGCAAAATTTATGTTGATCAATACCTTTTCTATGCAACACAACATTATTACTACACTGCAATCACACAGTGTAATCAATTTTACCATTGAAAAACTGAATTTTTCAAAATTATTGATAAACCTGATATTCTTTCATTGGTTATACCACTGGTATTCTTTACTGATTTTAGTGTTTAACTTTCACTAAATTAAGTTAGCAATATCCCACAGTATTACCATACAACATGACACACCAAATCCTGGTACAACTTGATAAACCGTTGCTTACTTACCTCTGCACTGGTATTCTGTGGTACATTGGATTTTTTCCCCACAGAATATTCATTTTAAAAAAATAATTAAGTCTATGAAATCTTGCCCCAAAACCCCCAGGAAGAAAAAATATATTGTTAGACTATACTAAAAAATATTAAGGAACCATATGATATACATTAGACAAAAGATATGGAACATGTAAATTTTTGTGGTATTCTGTGGTACATAAACCTGTATTACATTCAAATTTTAAACACGACAGGAAACCAAGCTCTTTTTTAACCGTATAAAATGCTTGAAAACTGTAAAACTACGGATATGGATTCTACAATTAATGAAAGACAAAGTTTAATGCGAGTTATACCACTCAACAAAGAATTTATGAAAGCTTGAAAAATCACTATCCGATGGATACTGGGAAAGATAAAAAAGAAAACGCGATATTCAAGAGAAACTATAATAAATACCTGCCGTCTGCCGAAGACGGTTTTGATTTGTTTCATGACCTCCTTGGAGTTGTCAGTCTTTTTCTGACAAGAATTTCATCAATTCCTCTTTGTTTAAAGAACCGAATCTACCACAAGGCCGCACAAACCATTTTGTCTTGGCTTTCCAAAATTTCGCGCGCTTTTTTACAAGCTTCCGACCGCGCTGGGGCTTGGGCTCTAAAAAGTGCGTAATCTTTTATTGAAACAACTTACTGTATTGGCCAAAAAAAGATTATTACATGTTGACATGTTAGCAGCGAAAATAACGTGGCGGCTGCCGGATATTGAGGATTATCAGGAGATTGTTGATCGAAGGAGAATAAAGTTGGAATTATGGTGGGGTGGCATCGAAGATGTTTTTCTTGGTGAAATGTTTGCTGATCCGACCATTAAATATCAATTAAAACAAATACCAACCCCTGGCGAAGTGGCACTCACTTTCAATATCATTTCTGTAATTTTATGACACGAGTTTGATAACTGCTTGTGCAATTTTCTGCCCTTTTCTCTTCGGTGCCACCCTCCGCCATAAGTAATGACCGGTCATTTCACGCTACGATTTGCCTTGTACGATTCGTATTCTAACAAGCTGCCCCCCCCCCCGCCGGAGTTTTCGTGCCGGACAATGGCTTTAATAGCGTCCGTTCTTAATGAAAAAGCTGCCTTTTTATCAGTACATTGCTTCTCACACCGCTGTAAATGAAGTTAGTTTGGTTTCGTTTCCACCAGTACTCAGTAGTAACCCTGGAGCACTAAGGGATGACTCTTACTAGATCTCTAAGGAGAACAGTTTAGAACGGTAGACTTATCGCTCGTAGTAACACAACACCAAGACTCTAACTGAACCTCTATGAGAGGACAGTTTAGAACCGATAGAGCTATCCAATCAGTATACAGGGTGTATCAAAAAACTGAACACATTTGAAATTGCTCTCAATTTCGCAAAACAGCTATTAGTATTCCGATTTTTATGTATATAGCTTCCTTGGGTACTTATAATGTTGAATAATGAAAAAAATTTCTCGAACTCAAATTTTGTGAACCAGGGTGTGTCTCTTTTCCAGCAAAATGAAAATGGCTTGCGCACGCAATTTAAAAGCTTTAATCATATTTTGAGTTAATAGATGGAAAATTTGTTAGGTTTTTAATTACTGTACAAAATTTTAGACAATTTGCTTTGGTTTAAGCC